CAGCTTACCTGTAACAGAAAGAAAAGGCTCCGGCAGTGGCTCTTCCACCCGAGGGCACTCCGACGATCAAGTCAGTATATCTCTCAAAGATAATCAAGTGCTCAACTCAAAAGCTTGAGTATAAAAAATATACCTTAGACTCATGGGAGTGCCTCTCTTTTATAGCCAACTCAATCTTGATCCCATTAGAAGCCTGACTTCTATGGACTCCCATTCAGTGCTTACTTTGGATTTCTCAAGAGATAAAGATAAACTCCCTAAGAGCTTTATCTTTATCTTGGCTAAGTCTCCTCTTTACTCTAGGACTCTTGTCCCTTATCTTTTGTTCATTTATCTCGGATTCCGATATCTTCGGAGATAACCTCGGCCTTAAACTCAGAAGCTTGAGTATAAAAAATATACCTAGACTCATGGGAGTACCTCTCTTTTATAGCTAACTCAATCCTGATCCCACTAGAAGCCTGACTTCTATGGACTCCCATTCAGTGCTTACTTTGGATTTCTCAAGAGATAAAGATAAACTCCCTAAGAGCTTTATCTTTATCTTGGCTAAGTCTCCTCTTTACTCTAGGACTCTTGTCCCTTATCTTTTGTTCATTTATCTCGGATTCCGATATCTTCGGAGATAACCTCGGCCTTATCGAGATAACCTCAGCGTCACAACCTGCACACGTGGCACCTCGGCTGACACGTCGGCGTCACCTTGCCACGTGTTGGTATTCAGAAAATACATCCCCACACTAAACAATCCAACATTGAGGATAGATTGATTTTGTCTCACCCATAAAATATTTCTATACATTGTTAATGAAGAATAATATGTGAATAATACAGCATGATATTTCAAAATTCCTAAATAATTAGTGAATATATACGTTACCATACCATAGGAAAAAAGAAGATATACAGATAAAGACTTCTTTTTTAATTTATTAATCATTTACATACTCTATGTTTTGTTTTGTTTGTTTTTGTTTTTGTTTTTTTGTTTTTTTAAAATCTGGACTGATTTCTCATGTTTAAAATATAAATTATGCCCTTCCTACTAGAAATTGTCTGTGGGAAATGGATCTTTGACAATTGTTGCCTCCAGATTCAATGAAAGCATGTTAAACCCAACAACTTTAACCAATGAAAATGCAAAGCCAACCCCAGAAGTCTTCTTGCAAATATTTTGCAAGTTCAAAGATCTCATGTGTTAGAAGTAGCTAGGTCAAATGCTTTTTTGTGCAAAAAATTCTTCCATGGGCTTCCTTTTCATACAAGCCAAGTCATAATCACACTTGTTGGGAGTTGGTTTTTCTCTTATATACCTTGGGAGATATTGTTTGGTTTGTTTTTCAGAAAAAGTTTTGAAATTTTTTTTTTACAAATAAATTTTTAAGAGTAATTAAATTAAATAAATTTTTTTTAAAAAAATTTCAAAATTTTATTTGGTTACCTACTTTTTAAAATCACACTCTCTCTCATACACATCAAATCAATCACTTTTTTTAAAATTCTCTCCCCAAAATAATTTTTCAAAATCATTTCTAAAAAAAAACAAACCAAACAAGTTTTTGTACTTTTTATCTCAAAAACTACTCTACGAATACAAACCAAACATACCCTTGGTCCTTGTTCGGTTTGTGTTTAGAAAAACTTTTCAATTTTTTTATCCCCTAATCTTTTTGGTATGAAAAGAAGTTAAATATGGTGGTTCAACAACATTTGAAAATATTATCAGTTGACTCGTGTGATATATTTTTTTAAAAAATATATATATTTGATAGTACGATATGTGTGTTATAAAAAAATAATTTCAAATTTAATTTAAAATTAAAATTAAAATATGATTTTAATTATTTATTTTGATAATATTGGCGCTATCGTTCTATAAAAAGTGAATACTTATATATATTCATTTTAGTTAAATTATTTTATATTTTCATAGTCTTAGTTTTACAGTATTATAAAAGTGTAATTATCATATATGTACGGGGAGGAAATAATTCTCCTCGTATAATCCTATTGACCAAGTCCACGCTCCTCCGTACGACGTCGCTTTGTCACCTGAAAACACAAACGTGAGCTAGCCGGCGGGTGTGTGCCGAAAACCTCTCCGATATATTAAATTATAAGACAGTAAAATAAGTAGTCATATTGATATTAAAAATAATTAGAAGAACAAAGAAGTCTAACTATCTAATTTTCTTTTATATTCATTTGAAAAATAAAAATATATAGAAACATAAACTATATAAAATTTATTGAAAAAATTAAATATAAATATGTTGTAGTTGAATTGTCATATATGATTTTATATGATATATATTAAATTACAAGATTATAAAATAAACATTTTTAATTAAATTAAAATATCAATTATATACAAGAAATTAAACAACGACTAATCAATAAAGAATCTCATAACAACATTTAAATTCAAAAAGAAAAAATAAATAAAAACATTCAAAAATAGATACATTTCAGTATGTGAAGTAATTAATCATTTGTAATATAATGTCAAAATATAGAAGAAAATAAGTAAAGTTAGTATAATTTAAATTGAGTTTGAATTTGTATAGAACTCTAAATATATGTAGAAAATATATAAATGTGGCTTTTTAAGAAAAAAATAAGCTCTTAAAATGTGTCATCTAAGAAGGAGAAAAACACTAATATATATATATATATATATATATGATTTTTGGCTTCAAAAGAAAACCATCGAGGTGTAACGTATATTTATTTTTATTTATTTTAGTATCTATCTTATCATATGTATTAGTTTTCAGTAATGATTCAGATTACTAATTTTGATACTTTAATGGTGCATTAATGATATGGCAATAAACAAAAAAAAAATAAAAATAAAAACAAACCAAGATCAAAACATTACATCACTGTGGGTGGAGTCCACTACCAACTCATTAGAGCTATTTTTAAAACTCAAAAATTAAAGCTCCAAAGCATTTTTCATTAGTTTTTGTATTTTTTTTTTAAATTGCACTAGAGGTGAGTGCAAGTTACCTAATATTTTTTAGGATAAATTATAAATACATTTATGAGTTTTGCTTCCGTTTGGCAATGAGGTTTGTGGCTATTTTACTCACAAAAGATAAAATAGACTATTTTAACCACAATAAACAAAACATCATATCCAACTTATAATCATTACACTCTTCTCTCATAAAAAAAGTTAAAAAAGTCATTTCCAAACCAAGCTTTTTAGCCCAGGCTAAAATAGTCAAAAAAAGTCAAAAGCCAAAAAACTAACCCACTTCCCAAACTATAAATTACATGAGTTATGTTAGGGATTCTAAATATTCTACCAAATATTTTACCAAACTCTCACATGAGTGTGGGACCCACACACATGTGGATTTATGTGAGTCCACCTCATGTGAGAGATTTGGTAGAATGTTTGGAATACATAACATTTCTCAAATTACATTCTACCTCTTTAAATTTTTAATCACATAATAAATAATTTATTTTATTAATAAATTATTAAGTTAATTAAATTTTTAATAATGTCAAAAATATATAGGAGAGTATTTAGGAGTTTTTTTCATATTAATTTTATTAAATAATTTTTTTGATAAAAGATATGTATAATTTTTAGAACCGGAAGAACTGTTTATATTTTAAGTGTATTTGTAACGAACTTGGGTTCTCTCTGGTTAGGGTGCTATTGGGCCTCTCTGGGTTTACCACGGAAGCGGTATTGATAATTCGAATTGTTTAATGTGTAAAAATTATCAAGTTATTATTGATATTTGATTAATATAATTTTTAATAGAGATAAAATACTTAGGGTTGGTTTGACATAAATTAAATAATACAAAAAGTCAAAAAGTCACTATCCTATTTAAATCACATCATCTTATTTAAATCACATCACCTCTCTAACAAACTAACATTACTCTTGGTATTTTTTTTTATAACTAAGAGTGAAATTTTTTAACATAACAAGTTAACACAAAATGAACAAAACACAGTCGAAAAATAACATGACATGATGCTATAACATAAAAAATAAAATAGGTAAAGTTATTGTAAAGTAATAATGATATAAATTTAAAATGATATGACATGATCCTTAACACCTGATTAGGGACTCATAAATTTTGATAAAATTCAGGGCCTATATGACCATCTTTGTAGTCTTACATAAGAGCAGATCCTATTTTAGATTTAGGATTTTCAAAGGTAAGAAGAAGAAAAGAAGAAACCTACATGGTGGTATGGAGTGGATGACTTTTAGATATAGATTTTTAGACGGGGAAGAAAAAAAATTAAAGTGATGAGGTGGTTCATAGTAAAGAACAGAAGGTCTTAGTGATGTAGAAGGTGAAGAATAGAGGAGGGATTGCAATGGCTCTTAGCCAAGGGGAGGGGAAGTAGTGGTGAAGGGAATGACACTAAAGCTAAGTTTGGTATCTTTAAAAAAATTTAAAAAGTCAAAAAGTCACTATCCTATTTAAGTCACATCATCTTATTTAAATCACATCACTTCTCTAATACATCACATCAAACTCAATCCAAACCCAATCTATACAAGTCAATAAATCAAAAAATATACTTTTTTTAAAACATTTCAAACTAATCCTTAATAAACTTTATATATCAAACGATCCGAATAATTGATACGACTTTTGTGGTAGGCCCACGAAATCCTAACAACTCTCCCCTGTCCAATATGGACGAGAGATACCTCTCGTAATTTATCCTCTACATTAATATGAGGGGTTTTAAAAATTTTATTAATATTTTTATTAAATTTCATATTCACGTAAAATATTTAATAAAAATATTAATAAAATATTTAAGGCACCTACCATTTTTCTATCAGTATCTTACATTTATTGAGATTAGTCACGTGGGCAGCGCATGAATCTATCAGTATCCTACATTTATTGAGATTAGTCACGTGGGCAGCGCATGCCTGGACTTCGTAGGTTGGTCGATACCTACCCACCCCCACTTGGTCACTTTTTCTTCCCACCCCTCCATCTCTAGTTCACATCCCAACCCCCACAAAAAATAAAAAAAATAAAAAAAAACTTTTAAAATCAACTAAAAATTTATGTACCGCCGCTTCTCTATCTACACTTGCTCTAAAACCAAAATACGAGATGCGGTGGCTATAAACAACAGAGGAGGAGGAGGAGAGGCCATTGTTGTTCCCCAACTTGCCAAGCTCTCTCAGCTTTCCATTCCCGCCAATGATATCCGAGGTTCGTTTCTCAATCCAACCTCAATTCACACATTCCTCTTTTTTTTTTTTTTTTCTTTGTTCCGTGCTCTGTGCTCTGTTTGTGAGATCTGCTCATTTTTCTTCCCTGTTCATGTTTCTCGATCTGCCCATTTACAGATTTCAATATATGAAAAGTAAAAAAATCGTGTTTTTATATGTTACATAGATGTAGATATAATACATGGCGTGTATATATACTTTCGAGTTTGATTTCGTATATGAGTATGAGATCTTCTGATGTGATTCATTTCTTTCCGAGTCTGATTTTGTTCTCACACTCAACAAATTTTATTTTGGTTCAAAACAATGGAAGCTCACAACTTTGGGCGGGTGTATGCAATTTTGGATATGCAACCTACTCTTTAATCACAATTTGTGTCAACAAATTCATTGTTTATTTATTTATTTTTGTTTTGTTTTTTGTTTTGGGGTTTAAAATGTTGGAACAATCTTCTGTGTAAATAAAATACTTTGAAATAATTCAAACAAAATAAAATAAAAATTACAGTATTTATTTTGTAGAACTCAATAAATAATTCAAAAACCAAATTCACAGAATTAAATTATGTAAAAAATAAAAGAAACACGAATGTAACTTTTATTTTTCAATTAATTTGGAAATAAAATAAAATTTTATTCAACCAAATTAATTCCACACAAGAAATTAAATTCTGTAAAATAAAAGAAATAAGAATATAACTTTTATTTTTCAATTAATTTGGAAATAAAATAAAATTTTATTCAACCAAATTAATTCCACACAGGAAATTAAATTCTGTAAAATAAAAGAAATAAGAAAATAACTTTTATTTTTCAATTAATTTGGAAATAAAATAAAATTTTATTCAACCAAATTAATTCCACATAAAAAATTAATTTCTGTAACACTTCAATAATTAAAATACTAAAACAGAATTTTAACTAATAAAAACTCAAAATTAATTTCTGAAAAAATTCCACAAAAATATATTCTGAATTGTTAATGACATCAGTATTGTACTACTAGTTGTTAAAGAAAATAGATAGTATATTACTACTATCTGTCAAATAGCATATAATCACTATTTGTTTTTCCAACCAGAATATTATTTTGTAAATCCACAGAAAATAATTTTCTTAAAAGAAGAAAGAGAAAAGGAAACAAACGAAAAATTCTGTAAACAGAATAATTCGAATCTGTCTTAAGATTGTTAAAACAATCTTCTGTGTAAATCAAATAAATGGATACAAAGTCAAACAAAACAAAATAAAACTTACAGAATTTATTTTGTTGAACCGAATTAATAATTAAAGACCAAGTCGAGTGTGTGACACTTTGTCCTTAAGACAGATTCGCCCCGCTATGGTGCTTACGATTGAGTGGCGTCTATCTCCCAGGATACAATGATCTTAACCAATTTGTAGTAGCACTCCAAAACAAATTGTTCGACGAACTAAACCTGTGTTCTAACTCTCTGATTATTTAATCTAAAACTAATATATGAAGAATAAATGCACTAGAGCAAAATCTGGACAGCAAAAGCAAAAAAGTAGATTGATTTTCGGATGGAAAAATCCGATCTTCAAGACTGCTGGAATTGATGGGTATATATAGGCACTAAACCTTGTCCGAATAGGTTCCAAAGTTTTAATGAACAGATGCAAAGTATTTATTTCAAACAATTCTGACCGTTAGCACTTTGAACCCTTAAATTCAAACAATTTTTGAAAACTTGTCCGTTGGTGGACCAAGTCAAAGGAACTGTTGGTACTTTATTATTTAAACTATTTGAAATATATATATATTGTAGAAATTTAATGTATAAAGAGAAATAGAGAATTGTATTGTTGATTGATATAATGTTATTGATAGATTACAAGATTGATTAATTACAATTCCTATACAATCTATATATAGAAGAAAATGTGGTAGTAGGTGTAGTGGAGGTGTTTGAATTTAAGGGTTCAAAGTGCTACCGGTCAGAATTGTTTAAAATAAATACTTTGCATTTGTTCATTCAAACTTTGGAACCTGTTCGGACAAGGTTTAGTGCCTATATATACCCATCAATTCTAGCAGTCTTGAAGATCGAATTTTTCCATCCGAAAATCAGTCTGCTTTTTTGCTTTTGCTGTCCAGATTTTGCCCTAGTGCATTTATTCTTCATATATTAGTTTTAGATTAAATAATCAGAGAGTTAGAACACAGGTTTGGTTCGCCGAACAATTTGTTTTGGAATGCTACTACAAATTGGTTAAGATCATTGTATCCTGGGAGATAGATGCCACTTAACCATAAGTACCGTAGCGGGGTGAATCTGTCTTAAGGATAGAGTGTCACACACTTGACTTGGTCTTTAATTAGTAATTTGGTTCAGCAAAATAAATTCTGTAAGTTTTATTTTGTTTTGTTTGACTTTGTATCCATTTATTTTATTTACACAGAAGATTGTTCCAACATAAAATGGATGCACAAACCATGTGATTATGTAGGGATAACATTTGAATTAAAGAATCTTACTAGATTTATAAAATGGTCGGGGCTTCAATTTTGTAGTTACTGAGTTAAGTCCAAATTTTTTTACTGGTTTCAATGTAGTGACATATTTTTAGTATTTGTTCTTGTCTCTCTCTGTAGGAATAATCTATACTATCTATACTATCATATAAATTTTACACACTAGCTATACTATACTATTGTACAAAGTGTACAGGTCATTTGGTGTCAATATTCATGCTTTTTTGATTTTTCAAAAATGTAGACAACAACAGTTGATGAGTTTGAAAATGCCGACTGATTCAAAATTTAAAACTCCACAAACAGGGACGGTTTCTATTCGTCTTTTCTACTCATAAACTACAATTTTTTGGACGTGCATTGCTTGTGCATCTGTTGCTACTAGTGTAATTATATGTGTACTCTATGCATATATATTTTTCGCTGAACTATTTGTGCAATATTTTCTACTAAATTTATCCCAACTTAGAAACGTGGAGTTTTATCCAACTCATAAAAATTTCTAAACCTCTCTATGTGGAGTAATTTATAATAATATGCTTATAACTACCAAACTGAGCCACCTGGAAATTTTTAAGGTGTACCTAAATGGCAATTATTTTTATTGTGCAGGCGGTTTGAAGGTGTACTGAAGGCTTTTTGAACTACTTTGTTGTTCTTCCTTTTAAATGAAAATGAATTTCACTCTGGGCTCTATAATTTCTGAGGTGACACCTCCATGCTTCGAAGGGTTGCGAAGCAAAAATATAAATTTACTAGTACCTAAACCATTTATTAGGGTTGGTAAATTAATTAGGAAAGACAGCGTTCAAGTGTTCAATCATGAAGCTCGAGAGATGGTGATTTCTAGTGATATGTTGTCTGGACACCTGGAACAATCACATATACCAAAGAAAAGGCTGGAGGAGCCAAGTCAGAAGTTGGAATTTGTACGGACATTGTTGATTGACAATTATGATAGTTACACATACAATATATACCAAGAGTTGTCTGTCATTAATGGAGGTAAGCTCTCATACTGAGGATTTTATTGTTATTTACATTTTTTTACTAGTGCAAGTATTTTGTTATTGAAGATTGTTCTTAATCTTAGATGCACAGCTCTATTCTTTAAAACTTCAGTAGCATGTAATTTATAATCTACATTTTATTAATTATAAACTGATTCTTGTTTATTTGTTTTTCTTCCCAATTTGGTCGTTGACATACTATATTCTTGTTTCACCAAGATATGTGCTATTTATGTTAACTTTGATCCCCACAAGCACAAAAGATAAACCATCAAATCCACGAGTAGCAAAATTTTGCTTATAAGTGCTGTTTGAAAAATACCAAACAATTTTGAATTCAACCTTTGTGACCAATTTTTGATAACTGCATATTTACTGCTACATTTTTATTTTTATTTTTTATTACCAATCACCATAAGCGTGCATATTATGTCTGTAGAAACAACCTCTACTTTGAGTTAACTTGCTGCATCGTGAGTGTATACTCAATGATGCAAATTTTAAGCATGCTGTATAAGATTTCATCAATCAGAGGTTGTTGTGTTTATCATTCATAATGAAAGATGAAATGACAATTGACTGTATTCACAAGGAGGTAGACTTGGTTTATGCTGAAGATACAAGATAGCGAGATCATGAACTGGTTTTGCCTTGTGCAAGAAGGCCACCGAAAGCAATATTGTAGAGGAGCTAGCTTTTTATTCAAGTTGAAGGCACCGATAAGGCAAGAGGAAGGCCAACATGAACATAAGTTGTGCTTCGAGATGGGAAACTATCGTAAGCGATCTTATAAAGAATATAGTTCCATATAGAAATAGTTAGGCTTGAGGCTTTGTTGAGTTGAGTACCTGGGGGACATTGTTGTTGCCATTATTTATCAAACAATATTTCATTGTGGCTCATGGTGTAGGTGTGAGTACTAGTCACTGAATTGATATCTTATTGTTTAAAAAAAATAAAATTATCAGCTTGATATGAAAACATGCTGATAAAAGCTGTGCCTCCAATCTAAAATATCACGGGCTTCCATTATGAGAAAATAAAAATTGCTAACATTTATATTTGACATTTTATGAATGAGAAGTTTTGGACTTCAGTGGATTATGGCTCTTGTTTTGACATCTGTTGTTTTACTTGTTATGCTGCCAGTGCCTCCAGTGGTTGTGCGGAATGATGAATGGACATGGGAAGACATTTACCATTACTTGTATGAAGAAAATGCCTTTGACAATATTGTTATATCACCAGGTCCCGGTTCTCCCACATGCCCAGCGGATATAGGTTAGATAAATGAACTCTGCTTTTTAGCCTTTTATTCTTATGAGCTTATGGTAAGCAGTTTGAATACAACAGACACACACACACACACACACACACATTAGAGGTAGTTTGAGTATCATGACACATACATTATTACATTTATTGCAATTGGCAGATGTGAACTACATCACCCAAAAGGCAGAATCAGTGTCCTTGGACATAAGGTTGACAGTGGAAGTTTACATTTTCTGTAGGATGGAGTTTTAAATGCAATATATTTCATTGCCAAATTAATATTGTTCAGATCAGACCGAAACACTATCTTATTAGAAATATAGCTGCTGAAACTTCAGAATTCTGCACCTTGTGCATTAGACCTTTATGAATTTGACAGTTTTGGTTGTTGCTGTGATAGGGTGATGAGGTTGACTGTCATGCTATCGATTTCTGCTTAGATTATTTGCACAATGTTTTTACTTAGCTGAATTTTATTACTTGTTTGTAACTTATTTGAATCTCACAGGCATATGCCTTAAGCTGCTACTCGAGTGTAGGGACATCCCTATATTAGGTGTTTGCCTTGGACACCAGGTATTTCTCTACAAATTTGTTCATAAGAAATTGGTCACAGTGGCAACTGTGATCTGATCAATCACGTCTGTATCTGTTTGATTATATTGATGAGTTTTCCCTTCATTTTATTTTTATGTTATTATTGTTAGTCTTCATTAAAGTTGTTTTCTTCTGATGTAAGATCTTACTTATCTCTTCTTTTCACTAGTTTTGCCCTTATCAAGCTAATATCACAATTCTGAATTCCTCATATGAGGATGTTTTTTATTTTATTTTATTGGAGATTCTGCGACCCTAACTAAAATATTCAGTTTGGAAGAGAGGTTATGGACAAGAAAAAAGATTAAGAATTATATGACAAGCCTTTATTCCTAATTGTCTAGCTATAAAAGTGAGAAAACAACCTTCATGTCCCAATAAAAGTAACCTTCACTATTTTGGTTACTTGCATCACCTTTTCAAGTGAATGTTTCATTCATTTCTATTAAATGGCTCTAGAAGAAACAAAACCACTTTAGCAATTGCTCAATATGATAGCGCCAGCAATAGCAGTGATATTAGAAACCCACCATTGACTTGCTTTCTTTATAGTTCTTTAGCAAGATGATGGTTCAATAGTGCTAGTGTTAGATGGGTGATTTCAATTGAAAATTGTTCTATCCAATTATGATCTTCTCTTGGTGTAAAGTCGTCTGAAGGAAAAATGCTTTGGAGAAGTAGTTTTATGACTTTTATTTGGTTAATGTGGAAAGAAAGGACTAAAGAGCATTTGTTGATCTCTGTTTTGATTGGCTTCAGGCTTTGGATTTGATTAGTTTCTCAACCTCTTTTGAATCTACCAACCCTAATTTTTCAAGTATTAGCTTGGATGACATTATTTGGGTATTGTTAACTATCTATGGTCCTTCTCTCTCTTACTCGCAATATTGGTCAACTAGAGCCTACCTCCAGATACCTAGTTGACTTGGGGACTGAATGCTTAACAAACATAGTGGTTCTATGTAGTTCTTTCTATATGGAGCCTCTAGCATTATCACTCATGCGGGAGTTCTCTGATCTCATTGATGAGTTGGGTCTTATGGATCTTCCACTTTTGGGAGGTTATTTTATTTTGTCTAATGGCTAGGAGTCTTCCTCTATGTCTTTTATTACTGATTTTTTGGTGTTAACTGATTGGGAGAAGCACTTTTATGAGGTTGTGTAGACGGTCCTTCCAAGATCGGTGTCAAATCATTGTCCTGGGGACGTTGTTTAAATTTGAAAACATGTGGCTCCAAATTGAAGGCTTTTAGATAAAGTATGAGATTGAAGGCTTTTATGTTATTGTTGTTTCAATTGGCATATTTGTTTTTTTTTTTCCCCACTATTAGATTTCCTGCTAGAGAGACAAATGAATTTCTTATCACTGTAGGGTTACACTAAGGATCTACCTTGAGTCCTTATCTTTTTGCTTTAGTTATGGATTAGTTGACGAGAAATATTCAAGATGACGTGCCATGGTGTATGCTTTTTGCAAACGATATCGTACTAGTTGATGGGTCATTATACACACCAAATATAAACACTAAACTATACCAAATTCTTTTAGAATAATGGCAAGTCCAGGTATCGATCCACAGGGACAAATGAGAAATTAAACTAATTTAATTGCTAGATTCTTAAATTAATTTTGATTAAAAAGATTGATGGATATTATGACTAAACAAGAATTAAATGAAATTGAATAATTAAATTGACAATTAAAATTAGGGTTTGAGATATAAATCTTTGGGAAAAATCCTAGAGCAAAAAATTCACCACTAACCACATAAATGAGATTTAACATCGGCCAATAATTGTAATCCGGTTTGAAATATCTAATATTTCACAACTACAAGTTTGAAATATTGATCAAGAGAGTTGTTGCATTCAACGTACAGGCACGAATCATCCCGAGTAGCACGAGGCGTTTGCTTTAAACTATGGTAGCAACACAACCTGTATCTCGTAGCATGACTTTGTACACAAACACAAAGAAAACTAATGTATGAAAAGCATTAGACAATCACAAATAGTACAATTATTAAAAACTTTTAAATCATCCATACATTGATTCAAACCGATTCACAATCAAAGCTTATGAAAAATCTTATTACATGGCTAGGGTTTCATCAAAACTCTAGAAAAGAATAACCTAGCCACTCATGGAGGAGTGGAAAGAGGTGGAAGAAGTGGAAGTCCCCATGGAAGTTTCCTTAGAAGCTTGAGGAAAAATCACCTCTTCAAAACCCTAGCCTTCATTTCCTTCGAATAATTTTCGAACCCTAGGTTAGCCTATTTTTCTTCCTTTTATTCTCAGCAGAATAAATCCAAAATTTTGCGCATGCATCCCTAGTTGGGCCGTCGAGCGCCCATGTGGGCCGCTCAAGCAGTGATGGGCCGCACGTGTGGTGATCTGGCTGGCTCAGATTTTTTGCTTTTCACACAGAGGATTTGCTTTCGCGCCCTTTTTGATTGAATTTGCGTATTTTTTGCCAAATCTGTACAAGTGCACGAAACACATCATCTCCACCAAATAAACAAAATTAAAAGATTAAAAATGTAACTTAAGTGGCCTCAACGTGGTACCTTTTGGCCTACATCACTAGTGGATGAGACTAGAGAAGGAGTTAATACAAAGTTGGAGATTTAGAGAAAAACACTCGAATTTAAAGGATTCCGAATAAGCAGAACTAAGACAGAGTAAATGGAGTGTAAATTTAGTAACAGTAACAATGAAAGTAGAGGAAAAGTAAAGATTCTGAACTAAAAACTGCCTAAGAATGAACATTTTCATTATTTAGGGTTGATTATTACAACAGCGGGAGAGATTGATGCGGATGTGGCTCATAGGATTAAGGTGGGATGGTGTAAGTGGAGAAGTGCGTTTAGGGTACTGTGCGATAAACGAATACCCATTAGACCAAAAAGTAAGTTCTATAGAACGGCTATTAGACCAACGATGTTGTATGAGACAGAGTGTTGGGCAACCAAGAAACAACATGTAGATAAGATGAGTGTGGTTGAGATGAGGATGCTAAAGTGGATGTGTGGCAAGACTAGACAAGACAAAATTAGAAATGAGTGTATTCGGGAATGGGTAGAAGTAGCACCGATAAAAAATAAGTTGAGAGAGAATCGATTGAGATGGTTTGGTCATATTCAACGGAGATCAACAGAGGCAGTAGTAAAGAGATGCGATGCAGTAACGATAGATGGAAGTGTTGGGGGACCAGGTAGGCCTAGATTAACATTGGTTAGTGTTGTAAATAGAGATATGGAAATACTTAATTTGACTAATGAAATGGCCTTTGATAGAGTCGTGTGGAGAAGAATGATTCATGTAGCCGACCCCATTTGATTGGACTTAAGGCTTGGTTTGGTTCAATTGGCATATTTTTTTTCCTACATAAGTGTCACTATTTTTATTTTGTTACATGTGATTTAGACTTAAAATAATCTAAAAATCTAAGTGTGTGATGCTTGATAACCCATAACAAATTCTAACTCCTCTACTTGTACCTTTGCCTTCTAATCTGCCGAGTTTTCCTTTAGCTATTTCATGGTGCTTATTGACCTGAATAATTTAACTGACTTAACAGGCTTTAGGATACGTGAATGGTGCTCATGTTATCCATGCATCTGAACCAGTCCATGGACGTTTGAGGTATGGTGTACTGTAGGTGCAAGGATATTGGTTTTTTAAAGGCATCCATTAGTTGAGAAAACATATAATTTTGGATAAGAATATGCTTTACTAAAAGAAATTACTACGGCAGCGTCCTACCTCTATGCAGAGTATTTTTTTCCTCTTTTAAAGTACTTTTTCGAAGGGTTAGTGTGCACTTTCTTCTATACCAATTAACTTTTTTCTTTCTCCCTTGTAGTGAAATTGAGCACAGTGGATGTAGACTGTTCCATAATATTCCTTCTGGCAGAAATTCAGGATTTAAGGTCAGTGTGACTATACATTTTAAAGAGTTTAAATTTATTAATGCCCTTTACTATGATAGTTTCATGTGTCATGGTGAGCTCTTATCAAATTTTTATGAGCTAAAGCTAACATGTGAAAGAGTTGAACTTGAAAGTGCCTTGTAAACCTGTAAATCACCCTGTCCATCTTAAAGAGGAGGGAAGGGCCCATGTCAGACTGTCAGTGCATGATGCATGCTGATTTTGACCACCTTCTCTGCTGTGGTCTTGGCCCCCCTTCACAGAGTGCTCCTGTGTTGAGCCTTTTAGGATTTGCTTAAATTTAACGTAACAAAATATTATGACTGCACAACAGGCTGCATGTACATTCATAAACTGAAATTGACACCCAAAGGAGCCCATGCCCAGATCAGAGTCCCATTATTTGATGGCCTTTGGTTTGTTCCTTTTTTTTTTTCTTTTCTTCCCCCAATTTATGAAGAAATGCACTAAGACCAATAATTCAGCCCCTGGAGTATTGTTGGATTCATGTTTCTATCACTCGAGAAAATATTTTAGTTAAAACATATTGAAATCACTATTAGTTTTGGTGTCAGTGGGTGCACCATCAATTAAACGTCCTCGATCCTACTTTTTGGTCATTTTGAAATTTGTACGATTGTTTTGTTTAAATTGCACAACATAAACTTTGTTTTTTCTCGTAGAAAATGGCTTCCTTCTTTTTCTTTTACTTCTTTTGGTTTTCCCAAGGTTCTTGTTCACAGCTTTGGAAATTGTAGAATTTGCAATGTTTACGAGTCCCCTAAAGAACCGAATGCGGAGAACTTTTCCACAGGCGTCCTGCTTTTTGTTCCTTGAGTGCCAACATATATTCCTTACTCCAGTTTCTCCCCTTTTAATTTGTAGACCATTCTCACTATTGTTAGGTGTTCTCAATTTTTTATTATGATTTTTTTTAATAACTGATATATTGATAATCTCACATACTTCCCATTTACTCCATAATCTCTTTGGCCTTCTCTGATCTCTGTTGTGAATCAAGACTATATTTGAAGAAGTCACATGGCACATGGTGCAAGTCTAGGATTCTTTTTTCTTTTCTTCATCTGTTTCTGCTTTTAACATCAGATAAAAAACTTCCCGCTGCATGGAACTGAAATTTGCAACTGCATAGAACTGTACTGTCATTTTGTTAGTTAGTTTGTTTTTGTTTTGTTTTTTTGTTTTTTTTTTTAATTTTCCATTCTCTGTTGCCACTGTTGGCATCCTAACTTGTTTTTTGCTGCTTAATTTATCTATATTGAAAGGAAGTTATTTTCAGTCGTCATTGCCCTTTGTAAGTTCGTTCAATTGGGAGTATTTTTACTTTTACATGTCAAATGTTTGACCTTAAACATGTTTTCTAGGATAAAATTTTTTTAGCCCACTTGCTAATAAGTTTTCAGTAACCTTTCTGATATAGCTATGTCTCTACCCCACCCCCTTGAGAGCAGGATGCAGGCTGCGGTTACGTTAAACACTCAGTTGAGCAGTTGTCTTCGTTGCCATAATTTAGCTTATCAACAATCTGAAACTGTTAATATAACTTTAACTGTTCTTAGAATTCTGGATCTGAAACTGTTAAAATTGTTGCTATTACTTGTAGTAGTTACTGCCCATCCACAGAGCGAGGAATGTCACCCTTAACTTCTGCGGTTGCCTGAATTAATGCAGGTGGTTCGATACCATTCCCTTATTGTAGATGCAGAATCACTTCCAAAGGAACTCATACCGATAGCATGGACCTCTTCCACTGGCACACTTTCTTTTCTTGGCACCCGAAAGTCTGATGCTATCTCTGATGCTTATGAAAGTCCGCTAAATGAACAAATCTTTGTTAATTCTTCTTTGAGAAAGTCTAAAAATGGTAGTTATTGGCCTTCCAGTGATTCTGAGTTGATGAGTGGGAAAGTCCTTATGGGCATCATGCACTCCACCAGGCCTCATTATGGCGTGCAGGTTTGTTTTGGTGATTGTGCTTGTAATTACCACACTGCTTTTATATATCTCACAACTATTATCTTTGGTTTTGGCCTTCAGTTTCATCCCGAGAGTGTTGCGACCTGTCATGGGAGGCAAATATTTAAGAACTTTAGAGAGATCACTGAGGACTATTGGCTCAAGTTGAGATCATCCTCCAAAAGCGAGAGAAAAGTTCGTCATACTGGTAAACTACTTTATTAAAATTCTAATTCATGATTGTTGTTATTATCGTTAAATATGTGGTTCCTTTTGGCTCAAAAAGAACTCACGAAGTAAAATTTTAAATGCCTCCATGCATCACTTTGTATTGTGGGGGTTTTCTTAATTATCAAGTATTATAATTAACATGATATACCAATAATCGGTGGTTTGACACATCTGAAAGGTATTGTGATTGCCTTAATCTTTCGGGGTGCAGTAAACCTCCTATGTTGAATGTAGCGATGGAAGGGCTGGTTTAAGTATTTATTACACTGTGTGCCACTGCTGCCTACGGAAATTTTATAGCATTGCTGGACAGTGCGTTAAGTTTCCTCATGGGTTGTAAATTACACTTTCTCCCCCTAAAGTATGACCCTTGTCTCACTTTGATCCGTGAAGAATTGATTTTCTCATAATGCCCCTAAACTATCAAATTCTTCTCACTTTTGGTCCAAATTCCAATGACCATTTACCTAAAGATGGAAAATGCCACGTGGCTCGGTTGACCCAAACCTGACCCATATCCCGTGGAAATAAAGAGTAACTTACATTTTCACCCTTTAAAGTATGGGTCTTTTCTCACTTTGATCGTTATAGAAAAATATTTTCCCACTTTAATCCCTCCCTAACCCCACAAAAAAATTTGATTAACTTTAAAAATAAAAAAAAATCCTATCACAACTTGCCACATAATCCGCTAAAATATTATTTCACAACACGTGAACCTTCATTTCCTCTTATTTTCACCTTCTCTTCCCTCCTTTGTGCACCTTCCCACAACTGACCACCTCCCCTCCCTCACCCCACTCCCATAACTGACCACATCCTCCTCCCTCCCATCCCATCCCATCCCACCCCACCCTCTTTATTTTCTCCCTTTCACAAAAATACTATCTCAATATATGACCTTCCATCGCAGACCACCTCCACTTGTCACCCACCACGACCCGCCCATTGTTTCTCTATTGACTCATATCCATTGTAAATTTTCATTTTCGTCCATTATGAAGTTGGATTTTGAGATTGTGAGGGTTTGGGAATGTGTTTTGGAGTGGGGTGGTTTTGAGATTAGTTTGGGTTTGGATTTAGGGACCAAAGTGGGAAAGCTTAATTTGTTTCTCCCAAAGTGAGAAAACTTAATTTTTATGGGCCAAATGGGAAACCTAGTTTAAAATTCCAAAACTGCCCCTTAACTGTGGCAGGAGTTGGTAATTGAACCAATGTGGGAAACGAGAAGTAGTTTACGGACCAGAGTATGAGAATCTTTTCTTTAAGGACTAAAGTGTGAAGTGACTCATACTTTAGGGGGTGAAAGTATAATTTACCCTAATTTTTGTGCTTCTCCATTTGCATTTGGTGCATAGAACCTGACCTATTATTTACTCTTAGCAGTAAGCTCTACTTAGCATGCATGCAGGTGCCCCATGCAAGCCAGTTGTTCAGAGATAATCTTAGAAGCAAGCAGTTGGTGAATGATTTGGGTGAGGGCAACCACTGCAGCTTGTGCAATATGACAAATCAATCTCATCAGAGCAATGATGCTAAATTTCTGAAGTTGAAATGGAGGAAATTTGAACGGCTAGCCAGTGAAGTTGGCGGAGCAAGAAATATTTTCTGTGAACTGTTTGGTGATCATAAAGCCAACAACACCTTTTGGTTGGACAGTTCCTCAGTAGAAAAGGTATGTTTCTTACTCAAAGATGATCCTTCATACTTGAAATTTGTTTTTCAGCTTTCTTATTGTTTAGTATTTACTGTTTCAAATTGAATTCGTCTGTTTTTATGAGATAATTCATATTTCAAAGTGTATATAATAATGGATAGTGTGTTTCTTTCGTCATGACAGTTTTGATGTATGTTTCTTATACTTAAGATAGAGGAGATATATTTGAAAATTCACGTATGGAGTAAAGAGGGTGAACTACATGAGTTCCAAGATTTGGGAAGGACTAGATGTTATATATAGGGGGGGATTACAACTCAGTGTAGTTTTTCAAAAAAAAAAAAAAAAATTCAAATTATTGGTAAAGTTTATAAACATTAATAATTAAATTCATAAACTTTTCCTCTAACTGTAAATATTTTGCAAAATTCCCACTGATGTCTTGTGTGTGTGTGTGTGTGTGTTTAAAGGAGTTCTAAAAATATGTGTAACAGAAGAAAAAGAATCCATATGTTATTTACAGACTTGAGAAAAAGAATATGTAGGACTGCTATGTATTTTTATTTAATCAATGTGCATTACGTTTGCTTTCTCAACAACATGGTTACTCTTTCTTAACAACTTGGTTTCTCAGTTCAAGTCTTTGTAGTAATTTAGTAAAGCTTGATGTAATTTTTATGGTTTTTAAAATTTTGGAAGTTCTATTGTATAATAATCTTCTTATTTATGTCTAGAGAAGGGCACGGTTTTCATTTATGGGGGGTAAAGGTGGCTCTCTGTGGAAGCAACTCACATTCAGATTGTCAGATCAAAGGTTTGAATAGAGAATGGTTTAGATAGCATGGACCGTTCATTTGGAGAACCTGCCATGGTTTTTATTTTTCACTTTTGCTATGAGATGCATCTTCTGAAAAATAATATATTCAGCTTCTTTTTTTTTTTCTTCCTTCCAGTGATATGACATTTAGAGGTGGAGGCTATTTGTCTACTGAAGATGCTCGGGGCTTTACCAGCAGTACATATTTGGAAAATGGTTTCTTTGATTTTTTTAACAAGGTATTCAATGAGTATTGTTCTGATTGCTAGATGCTTTATGTATTTCTCATACTCGAACATGAGAATCTTACTTTACAATATCATTTCATATAGAGTAAGACTATTAAACCTATTTACTATGGTTTATTATGTTTCTTCCCAGTATTTTGGTTCTGAAAATTGGATGAGAAATTGTGATGAGAAGTGACATGTTAACTTGCAATAACACTTCTAGTGAAATATATGATTTGTTTCTTGACAAAGTCTTAATTTTAAAATCCAAAATTAACTACACAATCCTTATATTTTGTAGACGTGTCAGTGTGCACCATTTCTGACTTATTAACTGTTTTAACTACACTTTTTTTTCCCATGTATCTACTACGCACTACAATTATTTTTTTAATTTTATTACGATTTATTTGAACAAGTAAAGGGAATTATGAAATTCTGTGTGGTCTAGTTGCATTCTGAAAAGCACCTGCATTTTTTCAATGTCTTATAAACACCCAGCCTTACCACAAGACATGACTATTGCTCTGTTGTTCATGGGAGATGTCTCTTGGTTTAGGATGTGTGCAAAAAGAATGGCAACGAAAATATTGCATTTTTTTCCTGTAATGTTATTTTCTGTAATCTTATACATTCTAACCCATTGCTCCTTTTGTATGATCATGAACTCCAATCATCTGTTCTTATCATAATCATGTGTTATGTATTCATTCTGAATGATGTTTATCTTAATTTCGAAATGTTTGGAAGGACCAGTTTTGATAGATATCTCTTCTATGTTTTCCAGGAGCTCCAGTCATTTTGTTATGACCAAAAAGATTTTGAAGGATTGCCATTTGATTTTCATGGTGGATATATTGGGTACATTGGGTATGTTTTTGTTTTAGTGCTATGGAAAAAATTTCAATTTGCTCTTCATTACTGGCAATTCCTTATGACTTTTATTGGAAATTGTGGTGTAAATCCGATTTTGTCATTCTGTCATGTTGCAAAATGATATGTAAACTGACTTGTTTGGAAATTATTGCATATGATATACCGTGTTTTGATTTTAACTGTTTAATAGTCTAATTGGCTTTAAGCACACCTTGACAGCAGGTGTCAGAAATGATCCCCAAATATCCTCCAATTATTTGTTTGTCTGTACTGAAGTAAATTTGAGGTTTCTTGGATTCACATCATGAACTGCTTGCTGCAATATGACCAAAACAATGCATCATTTAACTTTCTGACATGAGGAATATCAATTACACCTAGAAACCTATGAAGCTCGGATACTTCAAATAGGGTGACATATCTGTATCGTATTCGTATTGGATACCGATACTCCTTGGATACTCGCAGATAACTATTTGATACTTACTAAAAGTATCAAATACTTAATTAATTTTTCATTAATTTTGGAGTATCGGATATTTCAAGTCACAAGTCACTTATTACTTGTTTTACGAAATTAGAATTGTAGCATTTCTTGCAATTGCAAAGATAAATATAAGAATATTTTTCTAATACTTTGTTTAGTTCTTTGATAAGAAGAACATAGTGAGTTAAATAATAGAATTTGTCAAATTGATGTATCCTAATTGTTTCATGCATATCTCCTATACTACATAGAAAGTAAGGATTAACAAGAGAATATAATAATTGTAAAATTAAATATTAATAAATAAATAAACAAGTAAACTTGAATACAATATTTTTTATTTGTGCCAAAGGGAAAAAGCACAGAGATAAGTTATGGATTATTCTATTATTATAATACAAATATACATGAAATATGTGCAAAACCTATTGAAAATTTAAAAGATAAACAAGCTACTAGCTTAAATTAATACCTAATTTTTAAAAGTTAGTATTTTTGCATTATAAACATTGTGGTTTCTTAACACTCTCTAGCATATGTGTAACTTGCTACTATTTATTTTAAAAAATAAAATTTTCACAAATGTATCCTACTTGTACCCGTATCTTATTTTTTTAAGTTTTGTCGTATCGTCGTATCCGTATCTCGTATCCGTATCCATGCTTCATAGCTAGAAACCCTATGAACTCTCTGATCCTTCATAAATCTCTAACCCTAGAAGCTTTCTACAACCAAAACCTACAATATGCAAGATCACAAATTGTCCTACATCGAGAGATTTATGAATCATCCTGCTAAATTCTCCATGGCAAAAATCCTACCAAATGGGAGCCAACAGAAGAATCTAGAACTTCCTAGCAAACTCTAGCACACATGTGAGATCACGGAGAATTCTAGAAGCCCCTAGCGAATTCAAGTACATACACACTTGTACATATAACTAGACTTGTAGATATTTGTATAGATATTTCTAAAAGGTATTCTAGAATGTTCCAAAGGTGCCGAGCTCATTTGCTCCAATCCATTCAAGAGTTGTACAAATTCTCTTAAGTAAATACAAAGGCATTCTTTCAAACTCTCTTTGTGTTTCTAGCTTCTCTTGTTGCAATTCTCTTGGGTTAGGTTGACTTAGCATCATCTAGTAAAACTTGTTGTGATTGTCTAAGTGCCACACGGATTACTTGGAAACAACCCAGTCCGTGACATGTGTATGATTTTTGTTGGAGAACCCTAGGAATTGTGGCTTTGGCCTTTTTGAAATACGTCTATCATAAATTTTCTTATACATGATGGAAGCTAGAAACAATCACTTTTCAGTCTATTGGTATTGGTTTTTCAGTCTCCCTCACAATTTCTCTAATGCATCTCAAAATTTGGATTAGGCTGATACTGATGTTTCTGTCATGCAGGTATGGCCTCAAAGTTGAATGCGGCATGACATCTAACCATCATAAATCAAGGACACCAGATGCTTGTTTTTTCTTTTCCGATAATTTTATAGTGATAGATCATCGTAATGACGATGTTTATATTATGTCCATACATGATAGAAACACAACTCAGACACCATGCTTGGATCTTGTAGAGCAGAAGCTTTTCAGCTTGAAGGCTTCAGCTACAAAGAAGTTAATGTCTCAAAATTCACAGCTCGTCACAAGCGCCTCATTTGAAGTGGGCTTTTTTGCTGAGAAATCTAGAGAGCGCTACATCGAAGATGTTGAGAAATGTCAGAAGTTCATTAAGGATGGGGAAAGCTATGAGTTGTGTTACACAACACAGATGAGAAAGAGAATAGGGGAAATAGATTCTTTGGGACTTTACCTAAAACTCAGAGAAAAGAATCCAGCTCCATATGCTGCTTGGCTTAATTTTTCGAAGGAAGGCCTATGCATCTGTTGTTCTTCACCCGAGAGGTTTCTACAACTGGATAGAAATGGTGTTTTGGAAGCAAAACCAATCAAGGGTACTATAGCTCGTGGTTCAACACCAGAGGAAGATGAATTGCTCAAATTACAATTGCAGTGCAGGTAATAAGAATCAGTTATTTTTTAAAGAGATGGAAATTTGCTGAAACATGTTCTTGTTTCTCTGAGAAATGCTTTCTGCCTAAAGCAATCGTTACTAAAATATTGACTTTGACTGCAATTCCTTTTGCTGTATCCGATAATTGGAATGAAAAGAAAAAAAAAAAAACCTCTGATATGGTATGAATAGTATGTTAGTTATATATATTTTATAAGCAAATGGTTATCTGCTCATCTATGAATGCAATATAGGCCCACTTCTCTCTTTTTTTTTTGAGCCAACGTTGTTGTGATTAGCTTTATCATTTCACCAAATTCTTTGGAAGAAAAAGAAGAAAAGCTTTAATTGACAATCAATATGTATATATATTTGTAATGTGTATTGCATTCGCAATATTTGTCCTTCTCACTCCCTCTTCTCTCTAAGCAGTGAAAAGGATCAGGCTGAAAATCTAATGATTGTTGACCTTCTAAGGAATGACCTTGGTCGGGTCTGCGAGCCTGGCTCTGTTCACGTACCCCATCTTATGGAAGTGGAATCATATGCGACAGTTCACACCATGGTGAGTACAATCCGGGGGAAAAAGCAATCAAATGTAAGTGCGGTTGATTGTGTTAGAGCGGCATTCCCAGGTGGTTCAATGACGGGTGCACCAAAGTTGAGATCCATGGAACTTCTTGATTCTCTTGAAAGTTGTTCGAGGGGTATATACTCTGGCTGCATTGGGTTTTTCTCATATAACCAAACATTTGATCTTAACATTGTGATAAGAACGGTTGTTATTCATGACGGCGAAGCTTCCATAGGAGCAGGAGGTGCGGTTGTAGCTCTTTCGAATCCTGAAGACGAGTACAATGAAATGCTTCTCAAAACACGAGCACCGGTTAATGCTGTTATGGAGTATCAGCGTGGATCACTATCAAAAGAATAGAAGTAATTCCATCAGTCTTTTTTGTTTTTAGGATTTCAGTTTGTTTTTTGCTTCTTTGAAGTTGAGATTCTGAAACTGCAACTGAGAGAAATCCAGAATGCCTGCAGAGAAGTGCAACTAATGTTGTATCATTGGAGTTTTTTTTACAGATTTCATGATTTATTTTTTTTTTTCCAAATCAATAAAATTCCTGGTAGTAAAACCAATATCAACTGGTGTTTGCATTTTGTGTAATCTGCAGATTGATTTAAATTTTAACAAATGACATGATGCATTTGTCTTCTGTTGAAGATATTTTTAATTTTTAAGATTACTTGTTGAAGGTATTCTGTCAGTGTTTATTCTTTGCTAACCCGGTTCGTAGTTCTCTAATTTCATGAAATTAGGAAAAATCTCTGTTAAAGATTTTGTAAATCCAATGTTCTGCCCTTGTATAAAAAAAATGCTATAATGTCACTGATTTCATTGCATCATTGCTGTTGTTTCTTCTTTTTATTATGAATTTGATTTTAAAAATATTTTAAAATTATTTCCAAAATAGGGGCTGGTTGCATTTAACAATTTTTTGGAAAAATAATTTTTGAGAACAATTTGCATTTTTATTTAAAAAAAATAAAAAATTACGGCAATGCCAAATAGGCCGCAGAGTCTCATGAAATTCCTTTCATCACCTAAAAATAAAATTTCTTTTATCACTTATATTGTGTTTGAGTCATGTATTCTTATATAAATTTATAATTTAATTACGTAAATAGTGTCAATGTTCATATGACATATATAAGGTTTATTTATTTATTTTATATATGCGGTTTAATTATGCAATAATTTGTGAGAAGTGGATCGTTGTGAGTGTATTTATGGCTTAAATTTTATATTAAATTTGATTTGATAAGAATGGTGGATTAGAAATAAAATATATTTGTTTTCTTAATCATATTTGACAGAATTTTGTCTACGCTCGCATCACCATCACTGCTTGGTGGAACATAAGGATTGTTGTTGTTAAAAAAAATATAAAATTTTAATTTTACATTTTCAATGAATAGTAATGTTATACCTTCATCAAATTTGATACTAAATTTTAATTCTAATTAAATCTGGCAGCTCAATGAAGCTGGCTAAAAACACTATTCATTCATCTTTCAAAAGCACTGGTCCTCCTTCACAATTATATCTTATGTTATTCTATTTTGCAATATATAATTTTAAAATTTAAATTAATAAAAGTTGATAACGTAGTATGTACTGTGTTATTTTGACTTTTTTAATTACCTGTGGTGACGTATATTTGCTTGCATGCATAGGTACATCTGCGTCGCTTTTTTTAATTGTATGCTTTTTCTTTTTCTTTTTTTGAAACTTCTTAAGAGCTTTTAAACTCTAAATCTTAATTTTTTTGAAAATGAATTGAAAAGGGTTAATAGATTGCCCTTTTTTTAATTTTTTATTATCTTTCGTAATTTTTTTTTAAAAAATATTTTTATTTTTAATCATTTCTAGTCTAGGAGCACTCAAAAGATATAAAAAAATAAAAAAAAATTGTCGAATAGTTATATACACTTTGTGCAAATAGAAGATATAGATATATATTATATACATTTATGTACAAGTATGTATATAACGTGAATGTGTGTATCCTAGCATTATTAGGGCCGGCCTTAAGAGTAGGCAAGAGAAAGTCTGCGTCTTGGGCCTCCAAATTGGGATTGAAAATAGGAGTTTTCAAATATAATTTTGTGTTTTAGATATAAAAAAAAAAGGTCAAATACTATAGGCCCAATTGCACATGAGACCCAAAAAAAAGCAACGAGACTAGATTTTTATTTTTTTAAAAGTATTTGTAATAATTGTTTTCTATTTTAATATATGAAATTAAATTTTTGTTTATAATTTTAATGATTATATGTGTAAGTAAATTTTTTTGTGGTTACAAACAAATAAAAAAATTGTAATTTATTGTTTTATCCATGAACTTTTTTTTTTTCAATGTAAGAGGGCCCCACTTTTGAAATTTACCTTGGGCCCCCTAAATCTTAGGGCCGGCCCTGAGCATTATCTTAAACTATAATAACTTATATATAATACACACTTTAAAATATATAAAAAAAAAATTGTTTGTATGTGTTGGTTATTATAATATACAGAAATTTCACATTTATTATAATTTTAATATATTTTATTTTAGTAATTTTCTATAATATTCACCAACAGTATGTATGTTTTTGGTGTCTGCATGTGAACTTTCTAGGGTAGGATGATAAACCCCCAACCATTGAGCAAAAGTTGCTTTCCAATTTTCCATACCCTTGCTTTTTAAAAAGCATTTATAATATGAAAACGAACAAATATAATCTTTTACTTAAAAAAAAGTAAAAGTTGTCACCCACTACACAAAAGGGCTTAATGAAGGTCAATTTGGTGATTGTTTTTGTGTGTACTTTTCAATAGAGCTTTAATGCAAATCATAGTGTGCTTATATTATATTCAGTAATGTTATAAATTATTAAAAGTGGTGCTCTAAAGCATTACTAATGAGTTGACACACACTTAAAAAAAACAAAAACAAAGGCACAACAACACTGTGACAGTGGGTGGGCCCACTGCCACACCATTAGTGGTATTACTAATTAGTGATACCACTAATTAGTGGTCTGAAGTATTTTTGTATTATATTAGTATGTTTTGTTTTATTAAAATAATTTTACTTGTCTAAAATCAAAAGCGCACACATAAAAAAAACACCATGCATGGAGACAAATTATCCAAATTAAATAAAATTGAATGGGGTCAAATTGAAGATACTAATCTTCTTTTGAGCACATGCAGCCTATGTAATCAAATTTTAATTAAAAAAGTGACTGTATAAATAATGATATATAAGACGGTGAAGCCTATGTAGCTGTATGTTTAGTTGACCTTTGTGCTATCAAAACCAATTCTAAATTTAAGGCCACAACAACTTTTTAGTAATTGCATCATAGGAGTAAGCAAGCCCTACATTTGTTTGAGAGAGAAAATGCCTAAGACTTTTGATTAAAGGTTTAATTTGGAAACTGTTTTTTTGTCTTATTATTATTTTTTTTTGGGGTCTTTTGATGCATTTAAAAACAATTGTTTCTAATTAAAAAATGCACAAAAAGAAAAAAAGACAAAAGAATCCCAAATGCTTACCATGAATTTTGTCTAGAAAGATCACATGTGCTTTGGATTCAATTATTGTATAGTTAAACTTACATCTAGAATGAATTTGATCATGCGATTGATTTTTTAGTAGAAGTTCAAGTAGAAACTTTGGGTATGTATTGTATTAAAATTTAAAAAAGCTTTTAATAGTATGTTTTATTAAATGCTATTAATTCTATTTTAACAATTAATTATTATAAACTTGCAATATAATTAATGCAAATCACATTAAATCAAAATATATCAGTAATTATTTCTTAAGAAACACTAAAAGGTATCTTGTTAATGTGAATTTATACAATCTTTTTTCAATTATCCTTTTTTTTTTTTTTTAATAAAAACATCAATAACAAAACCAACTTCAAATAGCTGACAAACAATATATCAAAATCAAACCAAAAGTGGGTGATAGTCTATTAAAGTAATCTGAAATCCTAATCAAATTTGCTTTTTCTCTAAGATCACATTTATTAATAAATGTGTAATATTATACAAATTAATAATAAAGGCAAATGCTAAAGAATGTTCTTGAGCATTTGTTAGCATTGGCCTTACTTAACATAAGGATTGAACAGAAAACAAAATATTGAAAATAAGTAAAAATATTAAGAAAATGTATTAATTTTAATTAAAAAATATTAAATTCAATTAAGAGTGTCTCATGTTAATGTTATTATTATTATTATTATTATTATTTTACATTTTTCTTGTACAATAGAACCACTCACCAGCAAGACCTATTAATAAATTAAATCACCCAATTTGGTTATCAATTCTTAAATATAATTTTTACATTTTTACATTTTTGAATTTTTTATTTTTTGTGTTTTGTTATTCTTAGTGAATGATGTGACTTAAATAAGATGATGTGACTTAAATATGATAGTGACTTTTTGACTTTTTGTCTTTTTTCAATCATGCCAAACTTGGCCTAAATCACCCAGTTTGGTTATCAATTCTTAAATATAATTTTTACATTTTTACATTTTTGAATTTTTTATTTTTTGTGTTTTGTTATTCTTAGTGAATTTTTTTTCTTCCCCATATTTTAACCATTTTTTTGGATGTACCTAACTTTTCTTTTAAAGATGGTTAGATGACTATGTATATGTGTGTCAACTAATGGGATGAGTTAGACTAGTTACAACTAGAGGGTAGGATTCACTTTTCTTATATGATATATTATGATTAGATGATGATATTACTTGTTAACGATGACGTAGTATTATTATTAATATTTTATTTTTGAAGTACATTTTAGTTAGGTGCATAAAAAATAAAAATAAAATATTAAAAGAAATAAAAATACAAAAAATCAAAAATTATATTTAATAATTTAAAATCAAACATAGTGAATAGATTTTTTATTATTAAATAATGAAACACTTAGCACATTATTAAAATGAGCAATATTTTAAATTTTAAATTTTCTTTACTGTACAGTGACTTTTTCATAGATTTTTTTATTATTTTTTTTATCTTTTAAGTTTTACTTGATTAGGCCAAAAAAAAAAAAAAATTCACTAAATACAAATAAAAAAACAAGTTGACTATTTTTTTTTTAATCTTTAGTTAATTTTTCTTAGATCTTTAATTCTTTGCTATTTTTTTTTTATATTTTTCTTTCTTTGACATACAAATTTTTTTTTTTGGACATGAATTTTACAAAAATATTAAAATAAAATAAAAAAATTGAAAAAACATGTGAATGACAAACGAAGCCTAATTAATAATTTTTTATTTTTATATTATAAACTTCACCCTCAAACCAACAAACAAAAGTAATACACACCACTCACTTGTTATTGGTAATCACTCTCCCATTGGTGCCATCACGGTCCACTTTCATCCAATTCGTTTATTATTATTCTACTATGGCTTCGTTTGGAAAGTGGGTTTACTTTTTGCCTTTTTAATTTTTTTTTAATTATTTTAGCCTAGACTAAAAAATTTGATTTGAAAATGATTTTTTGATTTTTTAACTTTTTTGACATTTTTTGTAAGAGAAGAGTGCAATGATTATGGATTAGATGTGATATTTTATTTGTTGTGGTTAAAATAGGCTATTTGGTCTTTTGTGGCTAAAATAGCCACAAACCATCTTCCCAAATATTTATAATTTGTTTTTGGAAAAATTATAGAAAACATTCTTGCTCATATGAAAAAATAAATTATAATTTTTTATTTTTATCAATTTAAATTTATTTATTTTTTTATTGATTTTCAATTTAAATCATTTGTATATTTTTGTTAAGTAAAATTAATACAAAAAGAATATTTTAGACATTAAATTCAATATAGGTGTACATAAAATATTATTTTTTTATTAAGTTTAATAAATAATTAAAATACTATTTTCTATTAGTTTTATTTAGTAAAAATAGACAAATAGTGTAGATTAAAAATAAATAAAAAATTTAAAACAAAACTTGATAAAGTTAAAATTTATAATTTATTTTATTATAATGATTAAACTCTAATTTTTTTTAAAAATAAAATTTTCTTTATTTAAAAAAATATTATATTAATTTAATAATTATGACCATAAAATCTAGAAATTTATAAAAAATAAAAAAAAAACAGTAAACGACAAGAATATACTTATAAAACTCCTTCAAATTCTGAAGTCTCAGTTATTTTGTTGTCATCTAAAGGCACCTTCATTCCAGTTGACAACTACATGAGAGGTTACTGATTGGTCTTGGCCCGATGTTCCAATCTTACTGTGATTGGTAAAGCCGGCAAAATTGATTGGTCTTGGCCCGATGTTCCAATGATCATATTTGTTTTCAATTGTTTAAAAATACGTTTTAAAAAATTTTATTTTCTTATATTTTGTATTTTTTTAATTTTTATTGAATTTTTTTATATTTTAAGTAATTTTTTTAGTTTTTAAACATACTTAAAATAAATACACTTAAAAAGTTTAATTTTTATAATTTTTTTAAAGAATTCAATAAATACCAAAAATAAAAAATACAAAATTTCAGTATATTTTTCATATTTTTGTGTATTTATTAATTTTTTAAAATATTTTTCACAAATATTTTACTTTTTAGATACATCTAAGTAAAAATAATTAAAAATTTTAAAGTATTCATTAAAAATAAAAAAAGACGAAAAAAAAACTCAATTTCAAAAAAAGCTAAATTCAAAAAACTAAAATCAAACCCACTTTAATGTTATTATGAATAATAAAGAAAATAAAATTTACAATTTTTTATTAAATAATTAAGGAACATAAAAATATATAATAAATTGTGATTAATGTGAGACATAGGGATGTGCGCGAGTCAGTTGCGGCCACAAAACCTTCAATCTGTTATGCGTCCGCCAAATTGGTAGATTAGAGAAAATCAATCCGCATCCATCCGCCAATCCGGCGGATCTAGATTGAACGAATTGATGGATTGATGGATGGATGAGAATCGGTTTGGCAATTTAAAATTTTATAAATTTTCAACATAATTCAACCGGTGCATTTTCTCAAAAAAAAAAAATAAAAATATTATAGTCAATGACTTAAAAAAGTATTACAATCACTGCATGCCTCATCCAAAGAAAGAAAATTAAAATTTTAGAATATTACAATTACTGCATACATCATCCACATATTACAATCACAACAGGTTTCATCTAGAGAAAATATTACAATATGTGGTTCTTAAAATGTAAAAATAATTCAAACCACTAAAATCATGAACAAAGTAGTAGTAAAGATTTGTATGTCTCTGTATTATTACATCTATATTTGTTTTTGAAAACAAAAATTAACTAGAATCTATCATCCTTTTTATTTATTATTTTTAAAATTAGATTAAAAATCAAAAAATATAGACAAATAATACATTTATTTTTTTCAATTTAAAAAATATATTCAAGTTGAAAATTATTTTTGAACAGAATATATTTAACATAATATTAAAATTTTTTTTAATTGAAAATACAAATAAATATCTAAATAAATTAAAAACAAAAAATCTTATAAATTATTACGATTACTCGCGATTTGATAGTTCAATTGCGGTGAAAAGAATCTCACAAATTGGTAGATTAGAGAAAATCAATCCGCATCCATCCGCCAATCCGGCGGATCTAGATTGAACGAATTGATGGATTGATGGATGGATGCGAATCGGTTTGGCAATTTAAAATTTTATAAATTTTCAACATAATTCAACAAGTGCATTTCTCAAAAAAGAAAAAGAAAAAAAGTATTATAGTCAATGACTTAAAAAAGTATTACAATCACTGCATGCCTCATCCAAAGAATGAAAATTAAAATTTTAGAATATTACAATCACTGCATACATCATCCACATATTACAATCACAACAGGTTTCATCTAGAGAAAGTATTACAATATGTGGTTCTTAAAATGTAAAAATAATTCAAACCACTAAAATCATAAACAAAGTAGTAGTAAAGATTTGTATGTCTCTGTATTATTACATCTATATTTGTTTTTGAAAACAAAAATTAACTAGAATCTATCATCCTTTTTATTTATTATTTTTAAAATTAGATTAAAAATCAAAAAATATAGACAAATAATACATTTATTTTTTTCAATTTAAAAAATATATTCAAGTTGAAAATTATTTTTGAACAGAATATATTTAACATAATATTAAAATTTTTTTTAATTGAAAATACAAATAAATATCTAAATAAATTAAAAACAAAAAATCTTATAAATTATTACGATTACTCGCGATTTGATAGTTCAATTGCGGTGAAAAGAATCTCAAATTTACCATCTATTCAAAATTAAACAAATTAAAATTTAACATAATATTAAATTTTTTTTTTAATTGAAAATACAAATAAATATTTAAATAAATTAAAAACAAAAAATCTTATAAATTATTACGAGTACTCGCGATTTGATAGTTCAATTACGGTGAAAAAAATCTCAAATTCACCATCTATTCAAAATTAAACAAATTAAAAAAATTAATATATAACCGTCCGTTCCTTACCACACACTTATCTAAAATGTGACAAATCAAATCAATTCGATTAGTTTAAGTAAATCGATATATCTAATACGCACCTAGTGAAACGTAGTCAAGTAACACTCCAACACCACCCAATGATTTTACCAAGTATATGCCCTTATTCATCAACGACTCTCTCTCTCTCTCTCGCCCCAGAGTCAGAGCTCGCAACAACTCTCATCTCTCTCTCTCTCATTCAACAACCTATACATACAACTACAATTGTAGTTGTATGTATACCCTCTGACTCAGTGCCCTCTCCTCCTCTCTCATCTCTCTCCCAAATCTCTAGGGTTTTGCAACCATGAGTCTCTCTGTTGCTCAAGTAATTTTAGTTCCAACTTTATTTTTCTATCGCTTTTGCTTGTATTGTGTTTGCGGGTTTTTGATTTGGGTTCGGATTGATTAATGCTGAGTTATTTATTTGTTGATTTAGGGTTTCACCAAGTCTTTTGCCATGACCGTGCTCTCCGAGATCGGTGACAAGACTTTCTTCGCCGCCGCGGTTAGTTAGTTACTGTGATTATGCCTTTTTTTTTTTTTTTCGATCTGATTGTTTAATTTTGTTTAGTGTTTGATTTGAGTGAATGTAATTGATTTGTTATTGGGAACTCATATTAACATCAATGGGTACAGGGGAGATACGATTGTTTGCTTCTATCTTTTCTTTTTCTTTTTTCTTGATTGGGTTGGGCTAGGTTTTGCTCTTTTAAGTTTACAGATTAATAAGATAAAGACATCAGCTTTCCATCCATACGGCTAAGAAATTATTGATGTAGAATGGGTTAAGATTTATGTGAATTCAAATCTTATAGTAGTCTAATGTAAAGTGTAATTAGACCAAATTTGTGGGTTTTACTTTATTTATTTTTTCCTTTATAAACCGTAGACGAAGTCAGTGTAATTTACCTTTACGTTTTTATTCCTATTTACTTACCTGCATAGAACAATTTGGAAGCAGAGTAAATTGCTAAAAGGGATTAAAAGGTTAATTAAATTTTGAAAGAAAAGAAAATGCATGCTGTACATGCGGAGAGAACTGTGAGATGTATTGGAGTAGACCCATGATGCCCTTGCTCTTTCAAAAGGCTTAATTTGGCATATTTTACTTTTCTAGGGGTTCAACAATTTATAGGTTTTCTAGGTTTATTATATAAAATGTGAGAATCTGGGTGGTAAGAATCAAACTGTAGAGCTTTTCTTCGTTTTCTTTTTTTGTGGGTGGGGAAGAATGAGAACATGGTTCCTGATTTCCACAGGTTTACAAGGCTGAGAATTAATTCTATTTTCTTTACCTAATATTCTTCTAGATCTTTCCAAGATTGTTTGTTTGGTTCTCGTATTGGAATGGTTGATTCTTTTTTTCTTCAATTGACTGATAAAATAAACTGCCTGGCTTGCTAGTTTGATGTTATGACAAGGAAGACAAGTGTTTTTTTGTTTTTGTTTTAATTTTAATTTATTTATTGTTTTCACTGTAAGTAATACTGATACACTTTCCCTCTCCCTTTTTAGCTTGCTATAGGCTTTGTTTGGTAGGGGTTATTTTTGGCTTATTTAAGCTTTTAACTTAATTTAAGCTATTTTGGTGTGATTGGTTTAGCTTAATAATACAGATTATAACTTTTTATAAGTCAAAAATTAGCTTTTTCTTTGAGTGGGAGAGGAGAAGCTTTTCCAATCAGCTTAAGCGGACATCTACAATTTGAGGGGCAAAATGACTTAAATGCCCCTCACAATTTCAAGTTATTATAAGTGTACCATGTATATAAATCAAAACACTCTCATTTTTGTCTCTTGCACGAAACTGTCTGGCGATTTTCGGCAAACCAGAGTTCTCTCTCTCGCACGAACATGTACCAAAAATCTCTCTTTTCTCTCTCTCTCTCTCCCTCGCTCTTTGTCTCTGTCTCTGTCTCTCTTTGCTACACCCATGGCGCCGTACCTAGGGTTTTTCGTCGTAGATCTTGGGTTCGGAGGGTGGAATGTCACCTCAAATCCACACAGATTTCAGATCTTGAAGGAGCAGTAGTACATGGTGGTAGCAGATTGATCTCATGGGGTTCAATCAATGGGATATCTTCTGTGCAAAACCCATTATTGACATCCATTAATGAGTCAAATGGGCCTTCTATGTTTATGTCTTCCTCTTTTTCTTTGTGTTTGGCCTCTTCAGTAATGGATGACTCAAATGATGTCTCTATTTCACTGTTTTGACCCACTGCCACTTCAGAGATTTTACAAGTTAAAGATGGCAGTGGTGGTTGTTGATCTTCTTGTGGTTGCTCTTGTTGGGGTTGATCATGATCCGTTGGAGAAGTAGGTAGTGGCTTGTGGGTGAGAGGATCAATCCCCATCTTCCTCAGTTTTTTCTTGATGTGCCCGTTGGAACTAGGGTTTTCAGTTTTTTTTTGTGTGTGTGGAGGTTTTCAGTGTTTTTTTTAATAATAATAATAATAATTAATGAATAAAAAATAATAATTGATGCTAATTAAGCCATTAATTGACACTAATTAATTTATAATGAAAAAATGAAAAAAATTATATTAATTGGTACTATTAATAATTTTAGTATTAATTGATGCTAATTAAAATTGACACTAATTAAATTATAATGAAAAAATGAAATAATTTTATACTAATTAATACTATTAATGAAATGATAATTTTTGTAATATTAATTATATGAACTTTTATTAATGAAATAATTTTTTTAAATTAAAACTGAAAAAAATAACAAAATAATCATTTTTATATCATGTAAGGGCAAAAAGGACAATTACACAATAAAAAGTTATTTTACAGTTTATTAACCAAACACTACTCAGCTGCCTAAATCCATAATTCCACAGCTGAACCAAATAGGTTAACAGCTTATGTTCATAGCCAGTGTTATCATAGGCGAGCCTAAGCGCTAAGCGAGGCGAGGCTTTAGCGCTTCACGCACCCTGAGGCGAGGCGAAATGGTGAGGCGATGAAGAAGCGCCTGAAGCGAGGCTTAGGCGATGAAGCGTGACGCGAAACGAAGCGACGCTTCGTCTGTTTTTTGCCTGATTTCAGTTTAAGTCATCTGGGCCCTTCATCGACAAAGTTAATTAGTTTTATAGTTGCTTTCTACTAAATGAGAAGTCCAAACCCTAGATCGCAGTCATTACAGTTGAGTTCACCTCCTGGGTCGACATTGAAAGGCATACCGAAGTCGACTTCACCTCCTGGGTCTTCGTCTTCCTTCTTCGGACGTCGTTACAGGTGAGTTCCTTCTTCTTCTTCTTCTTCTTCTTCCTTTCGACTCCACCTGGGTTCACTGTCGGACCACCCCTTCTTCCCCCCTGTTCTTCCTTTGTTCATTTTTTTCTGCTTTCCTTCGACTTCACTTGGGTTCACTATTGAACCCAGCGCTAAAATTAATTCAATTATTTTTTTAAATTAATTTTTAATTCGCAAAAATTAATTTTTACAATTAATTCAATTATTTTAAAAATAATTTTTTTGTTCAATTAATTCAATTATTTTTTTTTCCGTGTTAACATTTCAATTAATTCAATTAATTTCCTAGTTATTTTAATTTCCTAGTTATTCAATTAATTATTTTAATTCAATTAATTTGTTTAATTCAATTAATTTGTTTAATTCAATTAATTTGTTTATTTTAATTCAATTAATTTCCTAGTTATTTTAATTTCGTGGTTATTCAATTAATTATTTTAATTCAATTAATTTCAACTATTTTAATTTCTTTATGTTCTTTAATGTTGTTAAAATATGTTCTTTAATTTCTTTATGCTGAAACATTGAATTGCTTGTTTATAGATATTTAGGCCTCGTTTGGGAACCCTCCATTTTAGCCAAAAAGTCAAAAAGTTACTAAGGCCTCGTTTGGGAACAGGCTAATTTAGTAACTTTTTGGCTAATTGGCTAAAAAGATAGGTAAAAAAAACTGTATGTTTGGGATGACTTTTTGACTAATTACGAAAAGTTGTGCAAAAAGTAGAGAGAAGCCGTAATTGTTGACTTTTTGGTATGATTAATTGGCTAATTGGCTAATTTAGTAACTTTTTGGCTAATTGGCTAAAAAGGTAGCATCCCAAACGAGGCCTAAATTAGCCAAAAAGCCAACAACTCATACCAAAAAGTCAAATATTCTCTTTTCTCTCTACTTTTTGCACATCTTTTCGTAAAAAGCCAAAAACTCATTCCAAACATACTAGTTTTTTTTAGCTCATATTTTAGCCAAATAGTCAAAAAGTTACTAAATTAGTTTAGCCAAATAGCCAAAAAGTTACTAAATTAGTTTGTTCCCAAACGAGACCTTAGTATTTGGAATGATAACTGCATGATGGTTCTTGAAAATATTTATATTTTTGTCTATACCATTTATTTTTAAAAAATATCATTTCTAGTCGCCTCGATTCGATGAAGCCCTCACCTCGCCTCGTCGCCTCGCGTTTAGGCGTTAGGAGACCTTGTCGCCTCGGTTCGCTTTTCGCCTTAAAAAACACTGAATCACAGCTATAAGTCATAATCTATTAAGGTATAATCTATAAAGCTATAATTTATAATCACTTTTTCATAACTCTACCAAACGGGGCCATAATTGCTTTAACTTCCACCTACGTAAGTAACTGGGGCACTGGAGCTAAAAATATTTGGAAATTTTGCATTTGTGAATGGAATTTTCTTGCTTTGATTTTATTGTATCATTTTCTCATTTTGGATAATATTAAAGTATGTTTACATCCAGTCATTAGGATGCTTTATGCTTGTAAGCCTTGGTGTAGACATTCTTTGGCCGATATTTTATATCATCAATGAATTTGTCCAAACACATGCCCTAATGAAGAATATGGATTTAAATATACTTTGATTAACATGGTGATTGGTATATTATATTACAGACAAGAGTGTTTTTTTTTTGTTTTTTGTTTTTGTGTGTGTGTGTGGGGGGAATTTGGCATGGTGTTAGGCATTGGCATCATGCAATTACCATTAACATGCACTGTAAGTCTGTAACAAATGTTTCTTTTTGCTTGGGAAAAGTTGTTGGAATGCACTCAGGAAAACTTGAGGGCCTACAAACTTTGGATAAACCATCTTAGCTAGCCCATTGGTATAGGAAATATGAGGGCAATTTTAATTTTGTCTGGTGTCAGAAAGACGAATAAACTAATGCATATCAAGTTAACCAATGTGTACTTTTTGGAGGAGAAACTTGTCTTTGATGTTTGCTAAAGTGTGAGTGTTGGGAGTTTTCCCTTCACAATGGAAATAGTGCATTGATGGTCTAGATGATTGTATCATTAAAGATTGCATTACTAAAACGCTCACTTCTCATTGCTCTTAGCAGCTTGTACTTAAAATTCATACCACAAGTTTTTGAGTTCATTTGTACTGAAGGAATGAGCATCGTCCGGTTAACAATTCTATAAATAGTTGTCCAGAAACATTTAACTGAACCCCCGTCCACTTATGAAAACCATTGTCATACAACATACCTGTTTTCTCTAAGAGTCTAATCCCATCTCAATGTGCTTGATGAGAAGCATTCTTTAATTATTCTTGAACTAATTCCTGGAATCTGGCAAACACCTAACTTGCCAAACAGGAAGATCCACTTCTAGCTTCATTTGCACATTTTGATAATATATTGATTTATAAGGGCAATTATAGCATGCTGGTGAACTCTGCGCCATGTGATATTTTTTTTTAGACATTGCTATTTTCCTGGATTTTCTTTCCATATGTTAATTTGACATTATGATGCTTGTTTGTTTAGATATTGGCAATGCGCTACCCTAGGAGACTCGTCCTGTCAGGGTGTTTAACAGCTTTGATTGTAAGTATGCACTAATAATTTCAATATTCTCTACAATAACTAGTTTAACTAATATAATTCTATCACCCTTCCTAATGATTGCAACTATATTTTCTACAAGACCCTTGACAACTATTATTCCTATCCTATTTCTGTTTCTATCCTTACTATTATAATATAGTTTAAAACCGATATCATTTACTTATCTAGCTTTCTCATCCATCCACTTAGTTTCTTGTATGCGAGCTATATTAACTCTCCTCCTAATCATGGGATCTACCAATTCCATAGTCTTACTAATTTAAGTTCTTACATTCCCTGTGGCTACTCTAAATGTATAATTTTGGACTAGCTTCTTTATCCGTGCTCCGTGCTCGTCCATAAAAACGCAGAAACCTTTGCTCATTTTTCACCGCACCTAGGTGTCGATGCGATGCCCCTTGCTCACTTTTCGAAACACTATAAGGTAGGCGTAACACATCATTTAAGGGGAACGACCTAATTGATTCAAAGTAGGATTCATTTTCATAAGGGATCCGGGTAGCCTTTTTTACGTGTTGGCTATCGGCTACCTAACACACAACCCTCCTCCTTTGCTCGGGCTTGGGACTGACGGAGTTGTCAAACTATCCCGGCAGAGTTTATGTCAATATAATAAGAAAAACTCACTCTTAAGGTAACTCATCGTTTATGTCATTTTTGTGAATGATCTATTAATAATTTAAATCTAAGCAAAAAATAATAAACATTCAATATCAAACATCCATCAAAAGCACTAAAGAAGAGGGGGAGAAAACTAGTTAGTGTGTCCCTGATGTGTCCCTTGCAAACAAATTAATTAGATAAAGGGACATGTTGTGTGGTGCACTCCCGTGTCCTAGTTGTGTCCCTGTGTCTGACATTGCTATGAAACTTATTTTGGAGTGTTAGTGCTTCATAGTTGGGACGTGCTTGATCACTTTGCTATGAAGAAGGCATGTTATATATTCAACTTAAATGTGGTATTATTATTCAATGTCGTTATGAAATTTTGGATTTGCTACCAACAACAAACCATTATTAGAGCACATTTTGTACGATGGTGGAGGTGGTGATTGTTGTTGTGGTGGTGGTGGTGGTGGTGAGTGTTTAAGGCAGACTATTGTCCCTTTGTTTTATTTCTTTGTTCTTGTTTTCTTGTAATTGGTTTATACTATGTCAGCAATTGTAAACCTTGCAGATCTCTCGTAAATGGACTCATCACGTAACAACATTGTTGTTTTTGGGGTTTGGTCTATGGTCTTTGTGGGACGTAGTTAAAGGAGAAGGGTAATGAATTATTTATTGTCCGTTTGCCTCCTTCACTGTCATTTTGAATAGCCATTAGTTTTGATTACCTTCATCTTGTACACTTTGATTTGCTTCTATTAAAGACTGATGTTGTTTCACTCTCCAGGGAGGCTGAAGAATTGGCTGAAGTTGAAGCGAAATTGGTTTGTTTTTCTTTCCCCTGAGTTATTCTATATTTTCATCATGTGCTTTCTAACCGTTACCATTCTGCTGCTACTAGGATGCTGATTGGAAAGCTAATAAAGGAAGTACAAAACAGGGTAAAAAGGTAAAATGAATGACAGCCTTGTGCATGAAATGTGGTGACACTGGCTCCTTTGACCAAGGGGACCAGAATATTTTGTTTGCATTCTATTTGATTTTTCTAGCTCCTACTTATTATTCTACTTTTTCTTCTTCTACTACTTATTATTATTATTATTATTATTATTATTATTGTCATTGTTATTTTGTTCCTCTTGCTTTGTATCTCTGGCTGACCAGATACTGACACTGTCTTGCTATGTTTTGTTTCTTTGTCTTTAGACCATTTTAAAACTGGTTATGTGATAACTACTTAAAAATTTCAGGGGATGCAATATCTGTTTATTGTCTTTTTTGTGTGCAAGATTCCCAATCTACTTTTCCTGTTTAAAATATGACTAAGCAACTCCCTCACTAAAAGAGTTATAGAAATTGCATGAATCACTAGTGCTGAAAGGATAAAACTAAAGCAATTGTATTGTTGGGTCCATGACTATGTTCTGTACACAATAATGGGGTGAATGACCATGAGCTGGTGCTTTGGGCCATCTTTTAGTTTGTGAAATTTCTGCACGACATCTTTTTAAGTTTTGTTTGTGGGCTCTTGATATATTAACGCACTAGTAGATACAAAGAGAATGGTGTCTATTTTGTAGGTTGAAAATTTCTGTTTCCCATCGTATGTGATATAATAACTTATTCTTTGCAATAGAAAGGGAAAAGGAATTCTCAATATGTTGGTTCTTTGTTTGCATGGAGATCACGAGTTATAGAAATTACATGCAGAGATGTGCTGTACAAGTTAATTTATGTTTTCGCCTGTTAGTACTATAAGTTAATACACAGAGGAGCTCTTTACAATTAGAAACATTGAACCCCCTTAGCAAACCATCTACATACCAAAAAGCAGTAGAAGGGGGAACAAGACAATTCCTGGAACTTCATTAGTCTATTTATTCAAATTCCCATACCTATCATCCAATATATTAAGGCTTTCACTATCCAAAATCATTGTGTAGGGGAGGACACTTGCTTGGCGTCTTGAATGGTTGTACTATTTTTTCCTTTATTATTGATAGGAATTCTCTTGTTAAGACCCTATAAATCAATTGAAACGTCATATTCATACTAGAACCATGATGATTCAACAAAATCCTAAACTAAGCCCTAGAATTCCATGAATAAGAACCTTTGGATCATCACGTCGCTTATTCCATGAATAGATATATATATATATATATATAATGACTGAAAATCTAAAAAAACACAAAAACAGCTTATCATATTGTGGAAAGTAGAAAGTGCATGGTCAATTTTGGTACAGAGAATTAAATTTTTTGTTACAGAGCCAAGTTGATTTATGAATATTTTTCATTAACTGTTTTCACATGACAAGTGCATGGTCAATTTGGACTCTCATTGTCCTTATTTTATTGGTTTGGTCATCATGAATTTGGTTCTCAATCTCATCAAGCAATTAGAATTTGAACTCTGGTATATGGATTTATTGGATTCATTCTGTTTTGTGTGTTGAAGACATCAATCTGTATGATGTTCTTTCAGGCTAACGACGATTTAAAAAAGGAAAGGCGACAATTTCTCACTCAGTTCTTCTCACCCATCTTTCTAAAGGTTATGATTTCTATCAATTGTTTACTTTGACAAGGCTAACATGCTGCTACTAGTTATTTGATCTATGTATCATGACCATGGTTGTTAGAATCTTACGATTCAGAATTCTATTCATACGATTTGATATGACTTTTAAGCAAAATGATTTGATTCATTCAGTTGAATTGAATCTTAAATTAAGTGAATCTTACAATTCAATTGCAATTCACTGCTACTCAATGCTACTCAATTCTGTTTGCAAAATGCATGGAAGGACATCTTTTTTACCAAAAAAAGAGATCAACAATTATATTGATATATGTGATTTTATATGTATATACATATATATATATATATTTATTTATTGATATATATATGTATATATATAATTTAATTATATTGATATTTATTTCATTTTAAATACTACATGTGTAGTTTTATATGTATATCCATATATAAAGTTATATATTATGCTAAATAAAGTGAATCTTAAGAGTCATGATTCACTATTTTAGCAAAGCGATTCACGATTCACGATTCACAATTTGACGACATTGATCATGACCATTTTACAGGCATTTTCCATTACTTTCTTTGGTGAATGGGGTGACAAAAGTCAGGTAACCATGAGAACATTTATGTGTATATTTCACATGTAACTACCACTGTTGCTTGCTATTTTACACTGCGCATGTACCTTTTCAGATAGCTACCATCGGCTTGGCTGCAGATGAGAACCCACTTGGTGTTGTCCTTGGTGGAATCTTGTAAGTCTACATGGGTCTTAGGTTGTTTTGTTTTTTTTTTTTTTTTTTTGATAAATTTCTTTTTCCTTGTGACGAAATTTGTCGTATCAAGGCAAAAAAAAAAAAAACACTGCAAATTTGAAAACACTCTCTCTCTCATGCACAGTTGTAAACCAGCCACACCCACCACCGCACTAGCCCACATGCACAGATACACATCTACCCTCGTGCCCACATAGGTTTGTGTGATTAATGATGCCAGGACAGTATATTGGACCCTTTGGATCTTTCATGAATTGATGATTGTTACTTAAAAGATTGACAGGACCTTTATGGACACAAATTTCTTGGTTGCATGAAACCCTAAAACTGGCGGCAAACATTTGTTAGCACCCTCCTTTTTTCACCTGAGAGAAAATCATACTTAGGTTTTCAATTTCACCTGGAATGTGTGACCTCTCCTGGCACTAGTTCTGAGTTAACAATGTCTCTCACTAATTTTTGTTTACATTACAATCTTGAGAAAATATCTGTGATACTCTTTAGAGTTAAGGTAATAAAATGACATTTAATTTATATTATGTTGGACTGATTATGTTTTGCCTTTAACAGAGGACAAGCATTGTGCACTACTGCTGCTGTCCTGGGAGGAAAGAGCTTGGCATCTCAGATATCTGAGAAATTTGTAATTAACAAAATTTTCATTTTTGTTGTATCACATTTGATGTCCTTTTTGTTAAATTAGCTGTAACCATGTAGTCTTGATTCTGATGCAGGTTGCACTCTCAGGTGGGGTTCTCTTCATAATTTTTGGAATCCAATCCTTCCTTGCGACTGTCGAGTCATGATGTCTGTAACATTGCTAATGGTTAGTATTACCAACATTATCATCATGGTACACATCTTTAATAAGATAGATGCTAGGATGGTGGCGTCAGAATAGTTACTGGCCTTTGGGGCTGTCGATGAGTCAGATTAAGTGCTGATCCGACAAGATCTGAATCTGAGTACACATTCCATGATTCAAAATCAAATTCAAATCCAAGTATGTTTTGTAATACTACCTTAATTAGAATTTACCAAAATCCATGATCTGAGTTCTATCCAATCCGAGAGTAATATGAAAATAAGGGTTTTTAAGATCTATATTAATATTATACCATATACTACCTTAAGAATTTTTCTATTCATCCTTTTTGTATAATATATTATTACAATATCAGATATCAATCAGGTTGATTTACTTAGATTAAAGTATGATATGATTAAAGTTTTTAAAGGCGAAGTGTAACGTGTTGCGTTTTATCCTTTGTGAGGGTAGGTGCAAGCATTAAGGAGTTGAGGCACAAGTATTTTGAATTTTAAAATTTTATATTCAGTAAATAAATTAAATATTTTAAAATAGTACAAAAAAAATTAAAATTTAGATATGAAGGTGTAAATACTTTTTTCTTTGAGATATCAAAGATTTCACTGCAGAGAAAGACCCTCATAGGAAGTGAAATAGGATTTTTTTTCTTTTTTATGTTTAAAACCGACTAAGTTTAACAAGAGCCAGGACAAGCTCTTCATATGCATACTTATATGCTTATTTGGAAAAGGCGTACAAGGGGCATTTTAGTAGCCCACCTCAGACTGCACTGTGCGTGCAGGTATTTGGGGAGTATCATCTAAAAATTGAAGCCTCAATACATATTGACTTAGCTTCACCTTGAGGCAACTTCAGTAAAGCCTGTCAAAAGTTTTGATTTTAGTTGGGTTCGCTAAACCGGATTGCTATTCAAATTCATTGAAATACAAAATGTACGTCCATTTTAGTGACCTATTGACAGCCCTACTGGCCTTGCCTTGGCATGCACAAAGGAAGCTGAGACTACCATTTTGGCAATTGGTTAAACTAGCCAATACAAAAGTCAACTCATTATTTTTATTTTTTTGCACGTCTTTTTATAAAAAAATTAAGAAGTTACCAAAAAAGTCAATTTTCAAACGAATCCTTAATTTGTAAGAGCACAAATTTTAAGAAGTATACTGCTGACTCCCTTATGTGTATTGCTTTCATACAGATAACAAAGGATAATTGTGAAGGTTAAAGAGCAAATACATTTCAACATTGTGAGGGTTCTTTTCCTTTCACCACTGCAGAGGGTCATATATTTGTCATAAAGGTGATTCACATAACCAGAAGAGAACTGGTTTTTAGAGCTATGATATATTATTTTTACAAGGATCAAAGGTCAAAGTTACTCCATGCTGGCATTTTGGAGTGGATTGATAATTTGTTCCCTTAGCCTCAAGACTTATCTTTTATTTTTTTTTTTATAGGTTATTTGATATAAATTTTGCTGGATATTTGACTTGACTTAGGTATTAATAGGGCATCATTCCATGCACTAAATTAACCATTTTTGTTATCTATGTTATTGGATTTCACTTGGAAAAGAAAATTTTCTATACTGATGGATTGGTTCTACAACTATGGGTTTTTAAGTACATCCTCTAATGCGTATATTAGAGGCTAAACAAATCTAATTCAAAATTGTTGTCTATTTGAAAAAGGTCTCTCTTGTTAAAGATACTCCAGGGAAAATTGTGCCAATTCTGGATTCCATTGCTGCAGTGTGTAATGCAATCCTTGTATGTTCCTTGTAAAAGAAGGAATTGGTGTTTCTTAAAGCTGTTTGATTGATTAATTAGATTGGCTCCAGGAGTCATAATCCTGGGAAGGAATTTTGTATTTTCTTTTATTAAAAAAAGGTTGTCCCTGCACTACCAAACATGGTGTAAACCCTGGATTTTGGACTAAAAAAAAAACTTGGGATTATCCCGCGTTGCTTAAACAGTAGGGTTAATTGACATTGATGCATGTTGAATGTTAAATTTCACTGTCAATAAGTATTGGTCAAGCTGGGGTGGCTTGAACATACTGCAGAGCGTGGAGGAGTAGAGAAAAGCTGACAAACTGGTTTGGTAACACAAGTAGATGAAAATTTTGAGAAGGTTGGACGAGGGTTTAGCCTTTTGGGCCTCAATGAAGAAAAGAAAAAAAATGGGAGTAGACATCAGAGTTGTTAGATATGAGCAAAACATTAACCTTCCCAAGGGCATTCTTTTTTACACATTCAAATATTAAACAATACCCTAGTACACTTATTAGTGTTTGCCTAATTGTATTGATGATGGAACACATAACCAATCATTTGAAGTAATGTTGACGAACTTGCTTTTCGTTTGAATACGGGTAAAGATGTAAAGTAGTGCATATTCAATCTGTGACTAGCTTGGACCTTGAACAACATAAGCACGACTCATTCCTGTCCCAACTTGTTGCTGCTGAAATTGTTGTGGAATTTGTTGGTGTTGGTGCATCTGTGGAAGCTGTTGTTGTTGTTGTCGTCATCATTGTGGTGGTGGTGCTTGCAGTTGCTGCCGGTGTTTGCAACTCTTGCTGCTGTTGTTGCTTCTGAGTAGATATATGTGGCTTGGGCACAACCTTATCGTAAACCCACAACACAAGTGAATTTGTAATGTAATTGGAGAGTATAGAGAAGAGAGTAAATCCAAAAGCAAAGTCCATGAATGATCCATCTTGAATTTAGTTTCAGTATAAAAGGCTAGAAAAACATGTGTAATAACAGCAATGTCTGTGATGGTAACTGTATTGCTGCATACTAGAGATTCAAAAAATGGCAGCCCAAATTAGAAAATCCAGGTTAATTGCACACTGCTACGTGAAAAATGGCAGCCCAAATTAGAAAATCCAGGTTAATTGCACACTGCTACGTGAAAATGTAAATACATATATATATATATTTTATCAATATTGTTATTATTGTCTACAAACATTTGATGTGTCACTGATAGGGCTGCAAACGTGCCGAGCCGAGCCGAGTCGAGATTTAGTATGTTTGGACTTGTTTATTAAGATTTTAACGAGCTCGAACTCAAGCTGAATAAAAAATTAACGAACCGAGCTCGAGTCGAGTTGGCTTAGGCTCGACTTGAGCTCGAGCCTGTCCACGAGCCTTAACGAGCCAAAAAAATTATAAATTCATACCTATATGTGAGACTAAAGTTACAATTAAAACTTTGATTATACAATTATATATACAATATATATAAACATACCAAAAAAAAGTCCATATTTTATTAAAATAATAATATCTACTATCACTATTATGTAAATGTACTATCTATAGTTAACTATTATTTGAATTTATATTTTTTAAATATATAAATAGCATATTTCTCTTATTTTTTATACATATTTTTATATTATTTAATATATAAATAATAAATATTAAACGAGCCAGCTAACGAGCCGAGCTTTAGAATGTTTGGGCTTGTTTATTAAAAGTTTAACGAGCTTGAGCTCAAGCTCGAACACAAAAAAAAATTAATGAACTGAGTTCAAACGAGCTCGAACCGAGTTCGAGCGAGCACTTACCGAACCAAGCTCGAACCTGTTCACGAACGGCTCTATTCATTTGCAGCCCTAATAGTCATAACTTGAATAAAGTATGTGCTTGTTTGGCATCATCTAAAAAAGACATAATGTTAAAAAGTCACTAAAAAAGTAAAAAAGTTTATACTATTCACAATGTTTGGGCGGGAAAATGAGACTGAATACTTAGAGGGCAAAAGGACATTTTTGCCCTTCATTGACATATTAAGGGAAAAAAAGACGAAGAAAGTCAAACAATGCACCAATGCAGCTCAGTGCACTGAGATGGGAAGTGACAAGTGCTCAGTGCTTAGTGCATTGTCAGAAGGGTAGAAAGATAATTTTGGTATTTCATACATATTTTAATATATATTTTTTTCGTAAAAAATTAAAAAGTTATTCCAAATATCTATTTTTTTTTACTTTTTTAGTCAAAAAATCAAAAAGTATACTTATATCGTTCATCCCAAATAACTTCTTAGTGGTGGGTATTTGAGTAATTTTATTTTTTTTCTGTTAGGTTAGTTGTAGGAAAATTTTTGGCAATAAGGTATTTGTAAGTTTCATGAGAGGAGAATTTGTAATTATTCAAAATTTTTAATATTTTAATATCCTAACCTTAGATGTCTAAATTTAGGCTATGCAAAATATTCTCGAAGTTCCAGAAAAGTCCCAAAATGGGTGAGTCGTCAAACAAATCAAACCAAGACTTTCCTAATAATCCTGTAAACAGTGCTTTGCGTTTTAGGAGACCGCAAGGGACACCCTCAAAAAACCCTCAGATTCACTGAAGGGACGTATATATATCTCTCTCTCTCTTGCCACGTTCCATGTCTATCTTCCCAAAACCCACAGATTAAATAACATTTAATGCTTTTTAATGAATAGAAGAACAAAATAAACAAAGTTGAATCACAAATGTTATATGTATTAATTAGTGTATCAATTGATAATATGACATAATTTAAAATATTTTTGATATTTATAATTTGTATAATAAGTGAGGTCAATAATAATGTTATAACTAGTATTAATACGCTAGTTAATATATTAATTAATGCATATAACACCACTCAAATTGAATAGACAACATGGCATTCTGCGACCTTCCATATGGTTTGGTTTACCAACAACCCACCTTTTGAATTAGCCATTGGTGGTGTATGATAATAGTTTATATCAATATCAACTTTTATAATTCTACTCAGTTTATTTATTTGTAGAGAAATTAATTATAAAATTAGATATAATTTTCACATAAATATAGTGTAGGACTTATAAAACGTAATATTCACCTTATGTGAAAAGATTATGTTATATATGAAAATTAAAAAATTAATAATTCAAATAATCAAAGTGGAGCCCTAGTAGGTCCACAACCGAACTGTACAGGTCAGCCACATTGTAAACCGGAGACCATTGCGTTTAGATATGGATCTTATTCATTACATAAATTATTCATCTACTAAATTTTTTTTTTTTTACATAAAATTACTGAAAATAAATATATAGAAACACCTATAGAGACCTACATTATACCATGAAATTTTGGACAAAAGGAAATATTGCAAGGATCAAAAAATATATATATATAATATATACATATTTGTCTCTCTTGTGCTCCTTAACCTAGAAGATAAGTTAAACAATTGGAGAATACACTTGACAAATGAAAAAAAAATTGAAATGGAAACTTGCATGCACATTGTCTATATTATTATACATAATAAACCAATGTACTTGAGATGTGTACATATAAATTTATATATTAATAACACATCTTATCCTTGAAATGAAATGCCACGAATATTCGACATTGGGGGTTCTATAAAAACAATGTGCGTCTTGTTTGTTTGTTGGCATAAAATGATAGTATTCTTCTTCTTGGGCCATACTTATCCTTTATTTATTCTCCAAGCGGCCACGTCTGAATCTGTGGCTGGAGCATCCATGCAAGGTTACGGGCAACCCTAATGATTGGTTTTAAAAATAAAGTTTAAGCTCTTGAATTTGAATTATTTTAAAATGTTGTTGAAAATTTATCTCTTCGTTAATTTTAAAGTCTCGAGATTAATTGAGCTATTTGCAGCTGATTCAGACACTCAATTATTAAAAGGTAAGAAAACAAAAAACGAAAAATTCCTAGCTAGCTACCGATTGTAATGGGCCATGGCATAATCCAAGGGACAAAGCATGATATTATAATTGACAGTAAAAATAGTAGTAATAAATATGTTTGGTTGAATTTTTAAAATTTATTTATATAGGTATTTAAAAAAAATTAATTTGATAAAAATATATGTTAAAAAATAATTTTAAATTAAAAAATACTTTTTATCCCAAAATAGAAAAAAAAATATGTTAAGAAATATTTTTAAATTAAAAAAATACTTTTTATCCCCAAAAAGAAAAAAGTATCCCAAAAGGGAGATTTATAAGGAAATTTAATCTAACATCCCTCTCGAACTTTTAGTAATAGAAGAGAATAACAATATTTTTTTTTAGCCCAAGGTCCCTCACCCACACCCATATATCACACCCACTCTCTCATTTCTTTTAATCGATCTAGGTTTTGAATTGTGATTCTGTCGAAAAACTATGCTTCTTCCAGATGGTGTTTTAATGGGCTTGTGGAGATACTTGAAGCATTAACACAACCGATTGTTCGATTTTCCATCACGTGAAACCATCGAAAGTGCGAAGCCAAACAGAGCCAAGCCAAACAGGATAGAGTTTATCATTGCTGATTGCTAGCATGACTGTGACATTAGGGCTTTGATCTCTAAAATTTGAAGTTATTTATGTATTTTGCCCGGTTTTGCTCAATTATTGTTGTATTAACTGATATATATATATATATATATATATGAATATAATTTCTCTATGAGTCTATTTCTGTTCAATTTTTTCTGGTTTGGTCAAAACACAGAGAAAATTAAATCAGAGAAAATTGTGAGTAAATCATAGAAAATTAGTCAAAACATAGAGAAATTTGTAAGCAAACTAGAGAAATTTCA